CCCACAAGAGTGTCCTACAAGAGTGTCATTTGGACATATGTAGTTTTTCGAACGTGTTTGCATTCGGGTTCGTGGGTTCCATCTTGTTGTTTTTGTGTTTCGGTCCGTCCTTAATTCAGTAGATGCCTACTAAATTGAGTGACTAAGGGCTAAGTAAGCTACTGGGCTCAGGATAGCTCACATTTCTATTCTATTCATTTGGTTCCTAGATGTTTAGGAACAAAAAGAGTCTGGGAATCCAGGCTGTGGTTGTGGCTTTGTGGCATTGCATCGAGAGGAGTTTTGAAGGCTTGACTTTGCTGCTGAGTGTGCTTCATGCACCTGCAGCTGTGACATTCCCTCAGAAGGTTTTCAAGGTGACATTCAGTCTTTCTGATTTCTGTTTTACTTTAGTTGGCAGTTCTTTTTGTTTTCTGACTTTTAGACGCCAAGGATTGGGCATTTCCTCCGTCAACGATATATCCAACACAAGCGTTATGTTGTCCTGAGCGATTGGACGGACTGTGGTGCTCAGCCTGTGGTAGTGGCCTGGTAGTGGTGGCGATCAGTTAGCAGGTTTGAACAGGTTTGAGGCCAAGAAGGTCAAGGCCAGAGATAGTAAGGCAGTGCCCAGATGTGCATTTTTCACGCGTAGGAACTGGAGTTCTGCCCCTGCGAAGTACAGGGCGACCATGAAGCTGTGCTTTGCCGCCTGGCAAAAGGGACAACTATATAATGAATGATGACGGAAATGAGAAAAAAAGAACACCACAAACAGAAAAAAGTAACAGAAAGGAACCAGTAATAGAAATCAGAAAAGGTCTAGAGAAAGAAAGAAAGAAAGAAACCAGGAAAGGAGGAAACAAAGGAATTCGTAGATTTGTCCTGTTGCATGGGAATCGACTGGGAATCCATGCAAGGATCTGTTCGCTTTGTGAAGATCGGGCCTTTCACCGAACTCCCACAAGTGTTCCACAATATCCAGGTGCGGTGAAGCAGAACTGGCAAGCTCTGGAGTTTGCAAGTGACACTTTGAGGCAAGGCCTTGCCTCAGGATGACAGGTGTTCCACAGATCGGTGATGCACGGTGACGGAGTTGGTGTTCGCGCTTTTATTGAATTGTGAATGTGTTTGTCCTAACCGACAGTTGAAGTCAGACTTTGATGCAGGGGGGATCGTGAGATTGTTGAAGAAGCAATTCAGCAAGGCATGGATGCATCATGATGCATCAATGCAGGTGAGATTACTTCCATCTTCCGATCCACTAATGAGCAAACCTCGCCACAAAATGACGAATTTGACACGAGTGGTTTTGCATAAGGTTCCCTGCTGCATTATGATTTTTGAGCCGCGCTTTGATGCATTATAATGCTGCATACATGTTATACAGTATACCTTTGCAGGAGCGGGCACATAGTTGCAATTTACAGTAAAGTAGGATGGAGGTCATTGCTTCTACTAGTAGCTGGAGGTCATTGCTTCTACTGTGGAGGCCATCGCTATTAGGTTGGAAATGTATAGAAGCCGATGTTAAAGCTAATGTGTTCTTCGTTAAATGCGAACACTCTCAGAGAATTCCAACAAGGCTGGATGGTGTGGAAAGGCCCAGCAAATAGTGAGTCACTCAGTAGACACTTGTGAAGCTCAAAGCAAATCCTGATGAACCTTAAGGACAACAAGACCATCACTTTTGCCAGTGAAAAAACTTGAATTTTGTCCATGGAAAGGAGTTTCCACTGGGATTGCAAGGTTAAACAATTCCCAAGACCTCAACTCACCACAACTCACTGCAACCTTGCAACCTTTGTTGACCAAACCACAAGGAGACCGGATCAACCAACGGCTCTCGAAACCTCTTGTTCCTAATAGCAAACATTGTTACTACTAGTAAGGCACCTGTTACTAGTAGCGTGGCACTTGTTCCTAATAGCTTCTTGTTACCACTAGTAAGGCCAGGAGCCCCTAGTAGCTTCTTGTTACTACTAGTAAGGCACTTGTTACTAGAAGCGATGCACTTGTTCCTAGACGCAAAAAGACGAGAGCACAAGATTGCAATGTTGTTTATGTGTCGTGAAAGTTGAAGACCGTGGATGACATGTTTGTCCATGCGTTCTTGTATGTCTCCATTTGGTGGCTGCTCTAGCTGGCATTTGCTTCGTGGTGGTATGTAAAATGCTTCATAAATCCAGCCTGTTTTTTTGGTGGGCTGCAAGACGACGTAGATTGCTTTGATTTTAAGAAGAATGTCCGGTGTTTCGCAGCTTTGTTCTTTTGTGCTGCTCCTTTGTCTCCTTTGCGGTGCAACTTGTATCTTGCCCACGGCACTTCTCCTAGCGCACTGACATGTATCATGTGCATGCGTTTGTTTTGTTGTTTTGTTTGTGCCGGGGAGGTAGGCCGCTAAGAGGAAGAGGTAGCTAGTAGCTACTAAGACGCTACTACATACTGGACACAGGATAGCTCACGCTTCTTCAAGGAAGCTCCCCCCGCCTAAGGGTGGACGCTCGCACTAATGATTTGTTTCCTAGATTTCCAGGGAAACTTAGACATGGAAAGAGATTCCCAAGAGGAAATAAGGGTATTATCGTTTGACAAATGCATAACTTAGAATCCTTCAATCTCAAGGGAACGAAAGTTAGCTCTCAGTAAGCGAAATCTTTGGTTCTTTAGAGAACAGGACGAGGAGGTAAAAGGGAGGATGGAGGCAAAGGTGGAGGCAACGGAAAGAAAGAGACATGAAGGTTTTGGAGTTCAATATCGGTTCAAGATCATCATATTATCAACGAGTCCCGAAAAGCAATGTGTTGATATTGCATATTACTGTATTATAGTTATACATGTATGTTATAGTTAAATTAATATATGTGTATAGTCCATTTGACATGTGTCCCATCTCTAAGTGTGAAAAATCGAGCCTTCCGCCGTCCGCAGATTGGAGAGCTTTGCGGTTTGCTGCGCGGTCTTTGCGAGCTGACAAAGACCTCATAGCCATGGCTGTTGGGAAGTCCAAGGGAACCTCATCCAGAAATTCATTGTGGAGGTTTTGCTATCTCCTCTTTGTGTTTTTTCTCCCTAGCCTTTCACTAGGCCTTTCCATATTTCTCAGGATGGGCTTTGGAATTCGCAGCTGAAGAACTTTATCGAGACCCTCAACTTCTGCAAGATGCCACAAGCAGGTGTGGGTCTAAGCAGCATTGGTTTGATAGTATCAGTATGAGTGTCCCTTTTTCAAGTGGCCCAGCAATTGAATCATATGAAAGCGTATTTGAGTTTTATGAAGGCTATACGCAGGCTTCCTGTGGCCAGCTCCAATCCTGTCACGTGGGACCGCGGGCTCAAATTATTTGGATATCACCGACTAGCTTTGATTGACAGACCATTCAGTCCAGGAAACAGTTTGCAGCGAACTCTGAACATATATATATATAATAGTTATATAATTCTATATATATATAATATAGTCTAAGTGAACACGGTGCTGGGTTGGGTCAATTTTGTTTGGCACTATACAAGAAACAAACAGATGTACCAACAGGATGAGCAGTCGTTACCCTGGGTGTACTAGCCTGTTTGTTCTAACCTATGGCATGGGATGGCCATGGCAAGAGACAAGCTGGAGATTTGCAAGACCAAGGGCTCGAGGCCAAAAGACCTCGCAAGACGGAGACTGAGTCCAAAGATCTTTGCGGTCTTTGCGAATCGGTTTATGCCCAGTTGGAAGGACCTGGCGACAAGTCCAAAATCCGTCAAGGGCTGCATCACTTGATCGTTCAGCTTCAAGATGTGTCTTATGGTTATCGATCGATCGACTGCAAAGTTGCTTTGAAAAGGCAACTGCTGCGACTGTTGCCCCCACTTGCAAAACAAATCTCTGCAGCATCAAACAAGGGGGACTCGTTGGTAGAAGTTGTTGGAAGCTTTGTGGATTGCATTGTTCGAAGTGGCTTTGCACAGAGCTCGCGAGATCGCCGCGATATCATTGCATCCGGGGCTTGGCTGATGTGCATGGAACCACTGAAAGCTGGAAAACCTGAAGATGTAGTTTCAGCAGTGCATATCTATTTGCATTTGTCGGACCATGTTGGCTTTTATGATGACTTCATCGGTATGCACTCAGAGTTTTGGCATCCAAGTATTTTTCGAGAGATCCTGAAACATATGCCCACTGTTTTACATTTGCCAGACTCTCTTCAAGCTGATGAATGGGAACTTCGATGTCCGGACATTGAAGCTGCAATCAAATGTCTATTTTGCTTCTTGCTTTTCTGGACGGCAAAGGAACCTGAGAACAGATTCACCTTTGAAATCCCAGAAGCGCTTCCACTGCTCAATGCTGCCCTTGACGCAATTGAGAAATATGATTTGCTTTTCGGGTCTGAGATCGGTGCCAAGTGTCGGGGAGATCCTTTGGAGGAGCTGATTCGCATTCTCGGTTTGCTAACCCAGTTTGTTGTTGAGAAGATTGACAGCCAAGAGACAAATGAGCAAAACGAGGAAGTGATGCAGCAGTTGCAACAGCATGCAGCTGCCGTTCTGAGACTACTTGTCCGACTTCTAAAGCTGAAGATACCTACCTGTGGAGCAAAGCCGGAAGCCATCACAGATGGCCCCATACCTGTTGATGAGCGACAACAGGATAGCGAATGGATTCAAAATCTCTTTGAGAGATTGTCTGACGAGGAGCCGCCTGTGTCTGCAGCATGTCTCATGGATGTTTTTCGGGCAATGGTGGACATGCCTCTCGAGGAGCAGCGCTATCGCTTGGAATGTTTGGCACCGATGGTGCCGCGGTTCATGGCAGGCTTTGTCGATCAGCTGAGGCAGAAGACCGTGCCGCCCGAATTGGCAGACTTTAAGATTGTAATGAACAATGTTCTGCAAGAATGTGCAACGTCCTTTGCCCTTGAGCTTTTGGAAGAGGTCTCATTCTATCCTTGCTTGTTGGATTTTACGACTAAGCGTGCCATGCTTCATGCACAGTGTGACCGTGTCCGACTTACTCAGGGCTCGGGTGATCCAATTCGAATAGTCGTTCCACGGGACAACGTCCTCGATGGGGTGTGCTCAACTCTAAATCTTCAGGATTCGCAGGCGCGTATTGATGTTCCTTTGGAGATTGAATTCAGAGCTGGCTATTCAGATGACACTGGAAATGAGCTTGTAGACGAGGGTGAGGATCAAGGTGGACCAAGAAGACAATGGTTGGACAGAGCGTGCCGCTATTTCATTGCATCTGACCTGTTCATGTCACCAGCAGAAGATGCAGCACACCTTGAGTTCTCTCAAACATCTCGGCAGCGCGGTGCACGTGGGATCATTGTTCCTTCTCCAGAGCCTGTTTGCCAGTGTGTTCAGGAAGATTGGACGGAGCAGTTTGAACTGTTTGGCTGCGTTATTGGCTTTGCAATTCTGAATAAAGAAACTGTTCCAGTTCACTTTGGTCATAATTTCCTGCGGTCGGTATTCGGCCTAAAGACCGACACAGCCGACCTGTTGCCGTTGCTGGAGCATGTCGACAAGACATTGCACACCAAGCTAACATACATTCTCAGTGGATCTTACAAGGACTTGGGTGACACGTTGGAAGATGTTCTTGAGCAATCGCACCTTCCAAGAACGTTTGTTGTGTCTGAGTCGCATTGTCAGGAACTCGTACGCAGTACCCCTTTGCTGGAGGGGGGTGACCGCATGTCCGTTACGGAGGAGAACAAAGAAAAGTTTGTCCAACTGCTTTTGGATCGGATTTTGATCAGTGGAGTTGCGCAGCAGGTGCAGTACTTTCAGCGTGGGCTTTTGAGGGTAGTGCCACATGAACTCGTGCAGCGCATCACTGGAATCATGTCAGTGAAGGAAATTGAACTCATGCTTTGTGGGGCTGATGGAATTGACGTGGATGACTGGGAAAAGTATACCGAATACGAGAACGGCTACACGTCAGAGTCTGTAGTCGTGAGATGGTTCTGGGAGGTCGTCCGAGAAATGCCTCAACACATGCGAGCTCAACTTCTATCGTTTTCGACTGGAAGTTCACAAGTTCCTTCAGGAGGATTTCGCTTTTTGCAGCCCGAGCTTTTCACAATCCAGAGGGTTGGGGTTACAGATAGGTTTCCCGCAGCACACACCTGTGCGAATACGCTTGACCTACCAGAGTACACCTCCAAGGCAGTGCTTGAACAGCACTTGCGCTTTGCATTGGAGGAGACTGGGGACTCCTTTGGTTTGCGGTAGGTTCAGTGTGGTAAAAATGACACGTATGTGCAAAAGCTCGTGAAGTGTCTGTTGCTTGCATTTGCCTACTTTGTTTCTGAAAGTGTTTGCACACACCTGAAATTTCTTGACCTTTGGATCTTCCTTTTGGAGGCTGGGGGGACGCCTGGGTCTACCTCTATCTCCCATCGCCACGCTGGTGCCTATTGACACAGGCACTCTAAAAAGTCCAACAAGACCTAACTTTCTTTGTTTGCTTTTGCCGTCTTTTGCTACAGAGCCCTGTTTGTTTGAGGTGCTGGTGTACCTGGTGCTATATTTGAAGCTTCACCGCAGGTTGAGTTGTCTCCAAATTGCTCTTTCAGAATCTTTCAGATGCCTGCACTCAGGAGACTTCCTTGCCTGTGCTCCAAGCCCAACTGACCCGACCAGGCATTGACAATGTCGAAACTGTCGAAGCAGTTGCAGAGCAAGCAAATGGTCCTGTGAACCAAGAGCAGATTGAGGAAGATTTGCAACAAGTTGCTGAGACTGGTATGGACAATTCAAGCGAGGATGCTTTGGAAGCCACTGATCCTTGCGGTGCGCCCGGTGTGGAGGGTGCCCATGGTGCGGTACAATTTGATGGAATCACAAGATCTTCGATCAACCCTACAGACTTGGAGAACTCGGACCAAATGCACCAGCCTTCGGGCTCGCAGCCGCAGCCGCATGGGAGCCAGGCTTTGATTGCGGCAACTGATGTCAAATGATGTCAAATGACTGTTGAAAGAATGGAGGCTTGGTTTCTAGGGCCTATTCTAGGGCTCTCTGGCCTACAGTGAGGCAGAATGAGGCAGGAAGACCATGAGGACCACAAGGATATCAACAACCAAACATGTTCATCAACCATGAGAGCTCCTGAGACCTCGTGGAAAGATTCAGAGGACTTTCACCGTCGTGTTGAAAAATCGGCTTGTGGAGGTCGTTGCCAGCAAAACGTTGACAAGCCTGTGCTTGCTTCCCTTGATGCATCTAGGTGCAAGATGGTTGATACCGGTTCACAAGCATAGGAGTGCTGTCGGCTGTTGGCTCTTTGGTTCAAGACTTGGTAGGGTGGCACAAGAGTGTCACTTTGTGGGCCATGAATGATGTGAGCTTGCCTCCACCCCCACCGCCACCACCTCCAGAAGAAAATGGGGAGGCATTGCTTTGCCTTGTGAGTTGGTTGGAGTAATGCAGTAGCTGTGATGAAGTGCTTTAGAGCAGCTGCAAGGCGTTTGATGGCAACCCCTTTGGATCCCTTGCTTGAGTCTTAGCACCGTTTCTGAAAACTAGCTGCTCAGCAACTTTGGACTCAGAGGGTTTGGCTTATTTCTAGCCTCAGGTACAGCCTTCGCCTCTTGTGTTGAGGCATCAACTTTCACAGCAAAAGACACAAACGAAAGGAATGCCATGCCCACCATGGCCATAGTCATAGTTGCAAAATCGCAGGTGCAAAGTGGTGTTGCTCGGAGACTCTGCAGCTGGCAACTTGTCGAGCTTCAGCTTCACATGCAACTGTTCGTTTGTCTTCTCAATGGCTAACGACGCCTTTACTTCCTACTACTACTCCTGCTGCTGCTGCTCCTACTCCTCCTACTACTACTGCTCCTACTGCTCCTACTCCTCCTACTCCTCCTACTCCTACTCCTACTCCCTACTCCTACTACTGCTACTACTACTACTGGCAAACCTGTTTGCTACTATACGCATCCATACACCTTTACTATCTACAGTACTGTCTACTACTTCTTGACTAGATGTTACTTGTAGTCGCCTCGTCGTTGGAACCTACTTATATAATCTTATATAACTACCCCATTGGCCCATGCTAAGCAACAAGAATGCTCCAAGCTAAAAAAGAAGGACCAACAAATACCGATCCTTGCCAACTTGATGGTGATACTTGTCAGACTCATGCAGCCAGGCAAGACTTCACTAGCCAAAGTGTTCCAGGCCTCGGTGGTCCAGTTCCAGAAGCAAGCGACGGGATGAGACTCCTTTGAGATCCCGATTTGCACCATTAATCTATACAAATTAAACCAGCATAGACCCAGATAGCTAGGCAGCATCCCACGACCTGTTGACATGCGACTGGCTGGAACAAGAATGTACACAGCCTGCACGCGCAGCCAGCTTACGGCACCTCCACAGCGCGCGCAACCAGCTGACACCAGCACCGGTGCGCTTTGCCAGCTGACACGGGGACGGCGCCAGCACCCGACCAGCACCGCCGTCCGTCTTAAACGCGCGCTCAGCCACCAGCACCCAGGACCACAACACCAGCACCAGCACTGACACCCCTTCGAAAGCGCGCGCAGCCAGCTCATTCCTATTAAGTTTGCAGTAAGAACCCCATAGCTATCCCTAGTGTGCTCTTGCGCGTATAAGTTTATGCGCACAAAAGTATGCGCGCAAACAGCAAAGCCCGTAAGTGTCATTGGCCCGAGGCCAAGCAGTATCCAGCGCCACTATTGCCTTTGTAGCACGCTTGAAGCAACGATGTGTAGAACGATACGGCCGTATGATCTTGCGCGTATAAGTTTATGCGCGCAAAAGAGTGCGCACAAACGGCAAAGCCCGTAGGCTTCACTCGCCCAAGGCCAAGCAGTATCCAGCACGACTTGAAACAATGGTCGGTTGAGAGAGCCTGACGTTGCGCATAGAACAGTGTACGTACAAAAGTATGCGCGCGAACAGTACAGTACAGCCCTTGACAGCACCGGCACCAGCAACCTGTCTCCACCACGCGGCCCGCTCACAGCACCATCACCGGCACAGGCACCCGGCCAGCGCCGGCGCCCGGCACCAGCACCAGCAACCTGTCTCCACCACGTGCACAGCTCACAGCACCAGCACCGGCGCCCAGCACCCAGCACCAGCACCGGCACCAGCAACCTGTCTCGAAAGCGCGCGCGGGCAACTCATTGTTATTTGAAGTAAGGACCCCATAGCTTCGCTATCTGGGGAAAAATATATAAACATTTAAGCTAAAACACGCATAGCCTACTTTCTCACGACTTTGCTTTGAGATGTTGCACGCGATGAAATTTGGGCCAGAAAAAATGTCTATGTAGTCAGAACTTTGGCTTTTTGTGTACATGTTCTGCCCACAATCTGAAGCTAAGCTTGGGCAGGTTGAATAGCCTTGATTTCAAGTCTAAAGCAGAGATCTCGCCAGATCTAAGACGACGGCTTCAAAATTTGAGCTCTCCGTGGAAACCGTCCTTTGTTCATCTTTGTTCGACACATTTCAACATGGAATGCTCATCTACCGTCAATTGTGTGTTTTTGATGTTGTGTTCAACTGTCAACTGTCATCCCTACAGCGTGACCGCGTTATTTGTGCGGAATACTAAGTGATTGACCTGTGGACACATGTGGATGCGCCTTCAGCCAACCTGGCCTTCGGTCGAACCCAGGGAGGTGCCCAAAGCTTTCCCAAGAACTACAACATGACGATAGGTGTCGACTTTCTTGTGAAGCGTGTCCTTTGGCAAAGATTGGGAGGGTTGCTTGACTTACAGGTCTCATTTTGTCTTGATAGCAACACATGAACGCACTTAGGTCAACATTCCTGAGACAAATGTTGCAGTTGAACTGTGCGCCTTCCTTCAATTTGAAAGAGGCATTTGGACAAACTGTCCTTGCAATACACGGCCGCAGGTACATTGTTGACTGCGGTGGCTTTTCCGTTTGCCAGGACCACTTTTCGAATCAAGCGAGCCTTGCAGTGCTGTCAAGATGGTCAATGTCTACTTTGCAATTCTTCAAGTTGTATCTCCAAGCGGTCGTTTGCCATTCTTTGGGGTGTATTTTGTGTCGTGGGTGGTGTTTTGCATGGTGAGTAGTGGCCACTTGGGTTATATGTATAATTATGGAGATCTATGGTGATTTGCGGGATATGGGGTGTGTTGTTGCTTTTGTGATTTGCAGATGTTGATTTCCTGCGGTGATGCCAGATGTGTTTTTTGCGCGAAAGGTTGTTAATGGTGTTGCGAGGTTTGGTGGGCTGTGGTGTGACGATACCCTCCTTCAATATCCTTCAATCATCTTCAATCCAGTCAAATAGAGGCAATACAGTGTCGTCGAAACCAACCGCCCAGAGGGCATGGATCTGGGAATCTGGGAATGTTGTCTCCAAAGCCAATCACACTTATCTCCTCCGAATGTCAATTGGATCATGGGATAAGGATGGGTTTGTGAAATTGAAAATTGGAGGCGGTGAACAAGGATGTACTGTATATATATAGTTATTTTTTCATATGCGTTTGATATTTCTTTTTAGGAGACAGGTGGACCTGACCAAACTAAGTGAGGCGGGTTTCAGGATATCCCAAAAATACTTTACTTCGAGTGATCCCCACCATGGCACTCTGCTGATGACCAACGGCTGTATTGCTTCAACATCACCAAGAAAGTATCTATCTTGCACATATACTTGCATATATTGTGACATTATATTTGGCATATATTGAATGCATTCTATCTAGCATACACTCTGGCAGTCTACCTGCCATATATTCAATCATTCTATTTTGTGTAATCAGATGTATTCACGAAAGCTAGCTGTAGCTAGCTGGAGTCTGTCTTGCTTTAGCAAGGAGGGTGGGAGCTGAGGACCCGAGTGCTATTACCTGATAGACCCCCCCCCCCTCGCGGGGTTCAACTCCACCCTTCTCCTCGTCGGTACCTGCTGCTGCTGCTTGGTCGCTGCTGCTGCTGCTGGCATCTCATCTGCGCCTGGCTCTTGGCTGCTTGCTGCTTGCATGCTTGGTGCTGCTGGATGCTCTTGGCTGCTTGCTGGTTGCTGCTGCTTGCTGCTTGCATGGCTGCCTGCTGCTTGTTGTCTGCTCCGTTTTGCTGCTGTTGCTGTTTGGGGTTGTTGGCTGCTGTTGGTGCTGAAGAAAGCCTATTCGTTACAATCGAGAGTAGTTGCATTCCCTCTGAGTCGTGAAACGATGCTAATTTCATTATATCGTTAAGAAGCTTGTACAGGCATGTACCCACCCCACAACCCAAGAGTACAAATCAGAATGCACTATCCGCTATCCACGCAGATCAAAAGATGATACTTACTTCACACATGAATGACAGAACCCAGCAAGATGTTTGAACGGGCTGTTTGCTTCACTCATGGTAGTCCGCGTTCCATGTTCGAGCGACAGGGAGCATGCACAAGCGTTGCGACGGAGTCTTCGGTCGCTGACACATGTTCGCATACAACCCCTAGATGTCAATCATGCACACCGCTGCTAGCTGCATCATCAGCATTTATTCGTGAAAAAAAAAATATATATATATCAGATATATCTGTCTTTCCACGTCGCCCTTCTACAATTACTCAGGCAGCACCTATATGTGCTATTGTTCGAGACCAAATGTTCGGGCACGAAAGACTCTAAGAAAAGCTCACTCTTTCCCTGCTGCTGCTGCTGCTGCTTGATAGCTGGTGGTGCTGCTTGGTAGCTGCTGCTTGGTAGCTGCTGCTGC